GGGAAAGGTCCGGCGTTCAAAGCCCCGCTGTCCCCTGCGGCCCGTGCTGGGGGCGGGGGGCCGCTGTTCACAGCCTCCGCTCTTCCCCCCCCCCTTGGCTCCTCCGATGAAGTTGTCCGCCTTTGATCATCTTAAAGGTTCCCTCTCCCTCCTGCCCACTGAGCCCCGTGCGTCTCCGTGTGCGTCCGTCACGGTGCAGCGAGGAGGTGACGCCGGTCTATTCTGAGTTCCTATCAGGCCCGGTTATTTTTTACAGTTGAGACCCATCGACCCAGGGGCCCTTTGATGAATCCCCCCACCAAACTGTCCGCATGTATCTGGGGTGTCTCTGTTCAGTGTGTGTTTTGGGGGGAGGGAGTCCTTACCCTTCGACAGCGTCTAAAAAAAGGTTTGCGACACGCACACAAAAATCCCGACTGCCCTGCCAGACCAGGTTTCTCACGTGGCAGGGACAGCTCTCTGGCTGGAAGTTTGGGGTAAGAAATACCTGCGTAAACGAACGTCACGTACCTGTGCGCTGCCGCCGCCGTTCCCATCCAGACCCACCGCAGGCCTGCAGCGCCTCCTCTGTGGGATCCGGCGCTCCAGAACCGTTTGTTGAGTGAATCAGTGAGGTTTCGGTCCTTGGTCCGCTAGGACCCCAGGATCTTTTTCCACCATCACTGTGTACAGCCACTGCTTTAACATCTTCTTCCAGGACCGGTCCCCCCTCTGCTAGGTCTGCCTGCTGCTTCTGTGGGGGTCTGGGGTCCAGCCCCGATGCCTGCCTTCTCTGCCCCCCCCACCCCCCTGCATTTCCAGAGCTGGTCCGCAGTAGCTTCTCCCGCCACCCAGCCACGTGGACCAGGAGCGGGGAGTCAGTCCTCTTCGAGGCCCCCGTGGGTGTCGTCAGCTCAGCCGGGCAGCCTCCCGGAGGAGGGGTTGCAGGAGGAGACGGGTGTTTTGGGGGTCTGTCTGTTCCACGTGGGTCCATCCGGGAGCTTTGGCTGGAGCAGCAGGTGGGCCAGGCTCCGCCCATCCACGTCAGCACCTGTGTGTCCTGGGAGAGCCGCAGCCGACCCTGAGAGCCCCCTGGGGTCCGGGGCCCATGCTGGGCCTGGTAGCTCCGGCCGGGCTTGGTCTTTTCTCAGTGGCCGTGCAGATGAAGATACTGACGCCCCGTGGTGGGCCCGGGGCTCCAGACCCAGTGCCCTTCCAGCTGGCTGGGCCCAGCTCCCAGCAGCACCTAGGGGGGCCCCGCCCCGGCTTCCGGCACCTTCTGGCCTTGGCAGTGGGGAGGCCCCACTCCTTCGGCCTTTCCGCGGTGCCGCGGGACCCGCCTGGGCCCACATCCTCCCCGGACCGGTGCCTGGGCGGGGAGGGGGTGCCCGGCACTCTGCGGGTCCGGTACACGTTGCCGGTTGGGGTTGGCGTGTCTTCACTCGCTCGCTCACGTCTTCGCCCAGCAAGCGTTTCGTTGCGGGTTCCCCGGGCCGGGCGGCGCTGGGAACATGGGGTGCTGGAGCAGGCGTGGTGGACGCGGCGTCTGGCTTCCTGAATCTCACGTGGGGCGGGGGGCGCACAGCAGTACTCGGTTGTCGCTGTGGAGGCTGCTTGAAAGCGGGGTGCAGGCTCCAGCAAGGGAGCGGGGTGGGGAGGGGCAGGCTGACCTGGCTGCAGGCCGGGGTCTGCTGGACGTGCCCACACTCACCCAGCAGGGCGGGAGGGAGGGAAGGGGCCACTCTCATCGCTGTCCCCCGGCATCACTTGCCCGCCTTGGAGAGGCCCCTTTGCAGGCGATAGGGACCGTCAGCTGTCCCTGGGCCCGCGTGCCCAGGCCAGGGGCTCAGACACGGGGGCGGAGCCTATGGGATCCCTGTGGCCTGCAGTGCAGCCTTCCCTGTGGTCCCCGAGGGGGCCTCCGGGGTGCTGGCGGACGGAGAGCTGCCCGGGCCCCTCGCCCTGCTGTGCGCCCTGCTGTGCAGTGAAGGTAGACCGTCCGGCAGCCGGGACCCCAGGGTGGGGTGGTGTGGTCTGGGGGCGTCCCTGGTGGCCGTGCGCTCCGGGAGCCCTGACGTCTGGCCACTACGTGGGCCCTGGATCTGCTGGGTGACCCTGGCGCCCCGGGGAGCCCGTTGGATGGCCTGGCAGCCAGTGTCCGCCGGCCGGTGGGCCTTGCTGTCCACTCGGCCGCTGCGGGTGGTGACTGGCCAAGGCCAGTGCAGACAGGGGCACAGGTGTGAACTGGTGTGGGGCTGAGGTTTGTGGGGACGGGGCGCCGACGGGCAGGGGCAGGCCGGGCAGAGAAGGGGGGTCCCCGGGTGCTGGTGTCCGGTCAGGCCTCGCCAGCCTGCTGTGCTGAGCCCTCTCTGCGGCGGCCTCGGCGCTGGGATGCAGCGTGAACCCCCCGGGAGGCGTCCCGCAGCCCCAGCCCCAGTGAGCCGCAGACGGTGGTCCGGTCCGGTCACCGCTGGCGTGTGTCCCTTGGAGCAGATGTTCTCAGATGGGGGGCGCTGGCCCGGGCCGTGAGCTCCAGCCCCTGTGCGGGCACCAGAAGAACAGGGTCTCTGGCTGGGGGCGGGGCGGGGGTCTCTGCCCCTGCCCTTCTCTCCCTGCTCTAGCACCCCGTCCCCTGCCCCAAATCCTGAGAAAAGGCCCCCCAGCAGGTGCCCGTGGTGAAGGCGGGGGCCGGGCCAGCTGCCCCCGGCCTGTGGGCTTAGTGAACGGGCCGGGGCTCAAAGGGGCACCTGCAGAGAGCGACTTCCGGGATGGCCTGCCCCCCCTGCAGGACCACCCCGGCCGGGGGAGGTCAGAGCTGCTCTCACGGGGCACTTCGGGGCAGCCCCGGGCACAGGACGCTCGGGCCCGAGGGCGGCGTCCTGGCCGTGGCTGCCCCCCGAGCGCACGGCACTCACAGAACTGTGGGGTTCTTTCCAGCCCCACTGGCCGGGCTGCATCCTCCCTGACACGGCAGCCCGAGGGGCTGCGACCCCCGCCCCACGCAGCGCACCCGCTTAGAGGGCACCGTCCACGCTCCGTGTCCTGCGGCCACCCCCCCCATCTGGCTGCAGCATGTGCTCATCCTGTGGCGTTCCGTGGCCGGGCTGGCGTCTGTGGGCCCGCGGGCTGTGGAGGGGTGTGCAGGATGGACGGAGCCCGCCAGGGGCTCCCGGGGGGAGGCCGAGCGGACCCGCCTGGGCGGAGGGAGGGGGCTTTGCTGGGCCGTCATTGTCCCTTCCCAAGCAGGGCCCCGGCGGGCCGGGTGTTGGCTTTGGTTCGGGTGTCTGCCGTGGACAGTTGTGCCTGCGGCCGGCCGGGCGGCTGCTCCCCGGACGTGCAGGGGAGCGAGGGGGACGGTTCAGGGTCTCCCTGCCCCGAGGCCTGCTGGGGAGGGGCGTGTGGGGGCGGGCTGGGGAATGTCTCCCAGCCCCGCAGACAGATGGAAGCAATTTTCAGTCACGTGGGCAGGGCAGGGCGGAGCCTCGCCCCACGAGGCGGCCGCGTCCGTGTCCAGGAAGCTGCCCCGTGGCCCCATGTGGGGCCAGATGCTGCTCTTGTCTTTGTTCTCGTTGGGAGCAGCAGGGCCGGGCGAGGGTTTCGGGGGAGGGAGTCGGCCCCTCCGGCGAGTGGCGGTCCTCGTCCCCCTCCTGGGTCCTGGGCGGTCACGTGGTCCCCCTGCTGTCCCTCGCCTTCCCTGGCCTGGGGGCGGGCAGCGTGGGCCTGGGGGCTCCTGGCTCTCTTACCTGCGTTGCTGTTTTGTCGGTCCCTCGGTTCTCCGAGGTAGGGTCCCCTGTGGGACCCCGGTTTCTGGGACCGGGCGGCCGGCCGTCCTGGCACCTTCCCCGCCTGCAGCCCTGCTCGAGGCCTGGGCGCCGGGCAGTGGGGATTTGGCGGCCACAGGGGGTCGCTGCACCCACCGGGGGCCTGTGGTTGGGTAGAGTTGGTGGTTTCCCCAGGAAGTGGAAATGCAGTTTCCTGGAGACTCGGCACTGACCTCCTGGCCTGGCGCCCCGTGTCCTGGGCTTCCCGGGGCCCGGCAGGAGCGGGCGGTCTGGAGGGCACGGTCAGGGGCGATGCCCAGGGAACCCGCCAGCCCCTCCTGCGGGTGTCAGGACACGCTGCGAGGTCACCCCGAGCTCAGGGTGCAGCTGGGGAGACTGGGGAGCCGCCCTGGGAGTGGGACAGGCGGGGAGGACACACCTCAGGTCCCCAGGGGCGTCGTCTGGGGACTCTGACCAGGGCATGTGGGCGGGGCAGGGGCTGTCTCGGGGGCGGGGCTGCAGAAAGGAGGGAGGCGTGGCCTGCAGACCGCGGGAGCCTGAGATTTCTCACCCAGCCCTACCTGTCTGCTCGTCCGCCGACCCGAAAGCAGAACCTCATCCTGGCCTCACGGTGGGGCCGGCGGAGGAAGTGGCCACCTGGACCCAGTGGGGCGGGGCCATGCCTGGGCGCTGCTTCCCCTGGAGCGGCCGAGCTGGGGAGTGGGGTGGCTCTGCACCCGGGGGCCCACTGGGCTCTCCTGCCGCCCCAGGGCTGGGGCGGGGGCACGTGGGGTGGAACGCACCTCACCCAGGAGGGAGCGGCAGGGCATGGGGACAGGCGCCGGGGCCTCCTCTCCGTTTCCACGAGGCCGTCCTGGCCTGCGTCCCGGCCCAGGCTGTGTCCCCTGCGGGGCCCCCGAGGCCCTGCAGGCGGCAGCAGGCGGCGGGGTGTCTGTGAGGCGGGTGAGGGAGACGCAGAGGCCCACTGTGTGCCCCGGGCCCTGTCCTCCCGGGAGTGGTTCTCCAGGGCGAACCCCGGGTGGTGGGGAGATGGGGGTCCGGGGTCAGCCCTGCCCCGGAGACAGCTCTGAGGGTCTGCGGTGGTGCTCTTCGGGCTCCGGTGTTCCTCGGGGACCCCCTGGGCAGGCGGGCCTCGGTTTTCCCAGCTGAGAAATGGGGCCGGTGGTCGGGGCCACCTGAGGGTGCAGGTTCCGGCGGGCGCCTGCGGGTGGCCTGACGCCTCTGCCCGTCCTTCCCCAGCCACTGAGGCGGCTCCCGGCTGCGCTGGCGACATGGCCGACACCCCCCGAGATGCCGGGCTCAAGCAGGCCCCCGCCCCGCGGAACGAGAAGGCCCCCGCGGACTTCGGCTACGTGGGGATCGACTCCATCCTGGAGCAGATGCGCCGGAAGGCCATGAAGCAGGGGTTCGAGTTCAACATCATGGTGGTCGGTGAGTTCCGCGCCCCGGGCCCCGTCTCCGCTTCTGTGACCCCGGGGCGGGGGGTGGGGCAGACCCAGCCTGTGGGGCGGGTGGCATCGTGGGTGTGCCCACGTGCCTGCCTGAGGGTCCCAGCTCCTCAGAGGGGCCGCTGCCCCGCCCTCCAGAGTCCCGGGGATTGCTCAGGAAGGGCGGTGCTGGCTGGGCAGGCGCTGGGTCAACCAGTGGCTGCCCCCTTTCAGCTTCTGCTGAAGCAGCCCCCTGGTTCCCGTATGAACCCTGGCCTTCCAGCCCCGTGCAGGGCTGACCCCTGCCCAGCAGGCCTGGCTGGAGGCTTCCTGGCGGCCCCCGGAGAGTGGGATGGTTGTGGGTGCTTGGGTGGTGGTGGCGATGGAGATGAAAATGCCAGTGACCCTGGGGTGGACTTTGAGATGTCCCACTGACACCTCCCAGACGTCGGGGGCTGTGGCTAGGACACGTGAGATGGCACCTGGTCTGAGCCTCTGGCCGGAACACAAACACGCAGGCAGGGGGAGGGAGTGGACGGAGGGGCAGCCAGTCCCGGGCTGCTCAGCAGTGGCCAGGGGGTGCTGACACCGGCCGCCTGTCCGCAGGGGGCACACGCTTTCCCTCGAACGCCCCTCAGAGTTGGACCATCGGTGCAATGTTGTGTCAGAGACGTGCTGGTGCAGCTCAGGGCAGGGAAGGCAGCCGGGCGGGGCTTCCAGGCTGCAGCCATGTGCACACGCATGTGTGTGTGTGTGTGCTCGTGGGCCTGTGTGCTCCGTGCCGAGGGGACTCTGGGCAGAGCTTTTCCTGTGAGCCCCACGTGGGGCTCAGGATGGAGCTGGGACCTGCGTGCCCGGGGTTGGCGGGCCCCTGTGGTCAGAAGGCCTGGGGTCCGGCCATGCGCTATGGGCGCCGGACCGCTATCCAGCTCTCCCTGATCCCGGGCGCCCGCCAAGAGGGGGAGCCCCGGCGTCACTGAGTTGCAGGGCCCGTGAACCCCTGGCCAGAGCCCCGCCGACCCCCGCCGACAGCCCCTTCTCTCCCCAGGGCAGAGCGGCCTGGGGAAGTCCACCTTGATCAACACCCTCTTCAAATCCAAGATCAGCCGGAAGTCGGTGCAGCAGCCGGCTGCAGAGGAGCGCATCCCTAAGACCATCGAGATCAAGTCCATCACGCACGGTGAGTGCCGGCCGGGGCCCTGGGCCGGGCACTCTCGGCGGCCACCCTGCTGGGCGTGTTAGCTGTGGGTCCCCGGCGAGGGGCCAGCCCTCCGGGACCCCTGAGCTCTCACTCACAGAGACAGCCCAGTTGTCCACCGGAAATCATGGGCGTCAATGCCACCAGCTCCCGCTGGACTTCTGTGCTGGCGGCTCTCGTGCCCCTGGTGTAAACTAGGGCATCATCGCTGGTCACTCTGGGGCACCCCGAGTGGGCCTCGTTGGGGCGGGGCTGGCTGGGCAGCCGGGGGCCCAGCCCACGGGCGAGTCAGGCCCTGGGCCTGCCCCTTAGCTCGGTGGGTGCTGTGACCCCCGCAGATATCGAGGAGAAGGGCGTCCGCATGAAGCTGACGGTCATCGACACGCCGGGCTTTGGGGACCACATCAACAACGAGAACTGGTGAGGGCTTGGGGACCCCCAGGTTTGTGGGGGCCGCTCCTCGGGCGGAGAAACACAAACAGGCGCTGCTGAGCCCTGAGAATCTGGCCCCTCCCCACCCACCCCTGAGGTCAAGGTCAAAGAGGAGGTTTGTCCCTGCTCACAGTCACAAGCCCTGGCATGTACGCCGGGCTCTGGGACTGGGTGGCCCGGGTGGGGGCGGGGGCGGGGGTGGCCCTGAGCCAGGCGGGAGCTGACCGGCCCCCGCCCGCAGCTGGCAGCCCATCATGAAGTTCATCAACGACCAGTACGAGAAGTACCTGCAGGAGGAGGTCAACATCAACAGGAAGAAGCGGATCCCGGACACGCGTGTGCACTGCTGCCTGTACTTCATCCCGGCCACCGGACACTCGTATGTGCCCCGCGGGGCCGTGTGCTGGGGGCGGTGCCCTTGTGTGCGACCCCGTGTCGCCCTGCCGTCCACCCTGGGCGTGGAGAGCCCAGGACCGGGCCCCTGGGTGCTCCCCAGGCTCCCTCTGGGCCCGAGGCGGGTGACATCCTGCCTGCTGCGCTCCCCCTTCCTGTCCCTGTTCCTGTCCCTGTTCCGCCCACCACTCTCTCGTCCTCGTCCCCTTCCAGCCTCAGGCCCCTGGACATCGAGTTCATGAAGCGCCTCAGCAAGGTGGTCAACATCGTCCCGGTCATCGCCAAGGCCGACACGCTGACCCTGGAGGAGAGGGTCTACTTCAAACAGCGGGTAGGGCTCCGCCGCCACCTGGCCACCGGCCCCCCACCCCTCGGCGGGAGCCAGGCCCGCCCGCAAGGGGCCCCGGGCACAGCGTGCCAGGTCTCCGTTAAGTGGGAGAGGAAGTCGGAGGTGGGGGGGCCTCCACCGAGGAGGGGACAGTCTCCGTGCAGGGGACAGGTGGCCGCCTCTTCCTCCTCTGCTGCAGTTGCAGTGCCGGCTGTGTGGGGAGGGCTGGCTGAGCGGGAGGGGCACGTCAGGGCCACCTGGGAGCTCGAAAACCGCGGCGCTGGGCCCCGGCAGGGCCTCTGCCCCAGGTGCCTGGGGTTTTCCCAGCATGTTTTGGGGAGCCCCCTTGCAGGGGGCATGTCTGTGGGGATGTGTCGACTGGACATCTGGGTGGGGCACCTGTCCCTGCAAAGGGAGGTGACAGTTCAACGCCAGCAGGTGTGCGCTGGGCTGCAGGCAGGACCCGGGCAGGCACTTGAGGCCGCAGTGACAGGGGTGCCTGGTAGAGCTTAGTGGGGGTGGGGGCTCGGCCACTTGAGGGTGATGAGCTGGAGAGGGAGGCTGGGAGACACTGGGGACAGCGACCCAGGTCCCTGGGCAGCTGCAGGTCTGCAGTCAAGGCACAAGAGCTGGAGAACATCAAGGTCACCGGCTCTCCAGAGCCCGCCCTTGACCCCGAGCCTGGGGCCGCTGGCGCTGGAGGTCACAGGAAGGGCAGGCACCGTCGCGCAGGTCCAGCTTGCCGCTGGACGGTGCCCACACGTCTCCCCTCTGCGTCCCCAGATCACCGCTGACCTGCTGTCCAACGGCATCGACGTGTACCCCCAGAAGGAGTTCGACGAGGACGCGGAGGACCGGCTGGTGAACGAGAAGTTCCGAGTGAGTGAATCGCCCCGGACGCCGGTCCTGCCGGAGGGCGTGGGGGGGGTCTTCCTGCCCCACCGGGGGTCTGAGGAAAGGCCGGGGGGGGGGGGGGCTGGCAGGGGTGGGAGCCCCAGTGTCCACAGTGGCCCTCTCGGGTCACTGCTGCTCCCGGGGCCCACACGTGACCCGTGCCCACTGCCCGCCCTCCCTCCCTCCCCCCGCAGGAGATGATCCCGTTCGCCGTGGTGGGCAGCGACCACGAGTACCAGGTGAACGGGAAGCGGATTCTCGGCCGGAAGACCAAATGGGGCACCATCGAAGGTAACTCACTGCCCAGCCTGCGCCCGGGGCCGCACGCTAAAGCCACCTCTGCCCACCGCCCCCCACCCCCAGCTCTGGGGCTGCCCATCAGGGCCTGGGGTGGGGGGGCACCCTCAGAACCTCGTCCCTTCCTTTGCCCCCCTCCCAGCCGCCAGGAGGGGCCCACCCGGGTCCTCCAGGGCGGGGAAGTGTCCAGGGAGGAAGGGCAACTCGGGCACTGCTGATTGCTGGGTCCAGCAGCTGTGTGGCCCTGGACACACTGGGAGCCTCTGGGCTAGGAAAGGGCTGGGCTGCAACTCCGCCCGGCCCTGGCAACCACCAGATGGCGCTCTCTCCCCTCCCCCCAACACACACGCACAAATCCCCAGGACCTCCGCGGCGGGCGTGGTGTCCTGGGCCTGTTGTGACAAATGAGCACAGACAGGGCGGCCGACAACAGAAATTTGTTCTCTCGTGGTTTTGGAGGCCAGGTGTCCTAAATCAAGGCGTGGGCAGGGCCAGAGCCTTCTGGAGGCTGGAGGGAGAATCTGGCGTGCGGGCCTCTCTCCTGACGGCCTCGGCTCGCGGCCCCATCCCAGCTCCCTGCTCAGCCTTCCGTGCGTCTGTCTCCCCCTCTCCCGAAGGCTTCAGGTGTCGGCTCAGGGCCCACGGTTCTTCTCCCAGATGCCTCCCCGTTCCCAGTGCTGAGGGTTGGCCATGGGGCGTGATTTGGGGGGACACAGTGCTGCCCTCCTCAGGTGGTTACTCCCTAGGTGGGGTGAACCCAGGCATTTCCTGTGTCCCCCCCTCTGCTCCTCCCTGTGTAGACCGGAAAGGTGGGGGGCAGGTTAGAACGGACCCCTTGGCTCCCCGTTCCTCAGCTGAGAGGCCCTGGTAGAGGAGGAAGCGAGCGCACCAGGTCCCTGCTGCAGCCCCCACCCAGCTCTTTGGAGTCGGGCCGGCGTCTCCATTCCCCGGGGCCTCAGTCTTCTGCATCCGTGAAGTGGGCGCAGCGAGCCCAGATGTCAGGGAAGTGAGAGACTGTCCGACGACCACTGGAGCTTGGGGGGCAGAGAGGTCTAAGCAGCTAGTGATGACAAGAACTGCTGGGCGTCCAGCAGGCCCCCCGCCAGCCGGCTTGCTCTACGTTAAATCCTTGAAGCATTTGGGGCTGTGTCTGTCCCCTCCGGCAGGGCCAGGAAGAAGCCCACCCGGGCTCTGGAATCCGTGGGCCCACCCGTGCGGGCTCCAGCCTAGGGGAGGGTGGGGAGGCGCCCACGTCGGGCTGGCAGTGGGTGTTTCCAAGTCTGCCCTGAATCGCCTTTCTTTACTTCTCCCCTTGTCCGGGGGGGCCTTGACCCCCGGGGTGTCCCCGAAGGCCGCTTGCCTCCCTGCCCACTGAGGCAGTCTCAGCCCAGCCTGTCTTGGCCCCTCCTCTGTCATCTCCTCTCTTCCCAGAGTCCTGCTGCTCAGAACCTTTTTTACGAAGCCGTGTTTTGGAGGGAGGCCTCGGGGTTAGAGAGGGTCAGTCGGGAGGGACCTGGGAGGGCAGCACGGAGATGGACTGGCCTCTGCCGCCCCCTGGTGGCCAGCCCACAGCCAGCAATGGAAACAGGATTTGCTGGGAAGTTGAGCGAGGCTGGTGTTCCGTGTCTTGCACCCCAGTGGTGTCCCTGTCCCACCCGATCCGTGCCCTGTGCACTGTCTGTGCATTGTCCTGGTGCCGCCGGCTCCGTTTGGTGCCGTTGAAAGCAGCAGCAGCAGCCCCGTGGCGCTGTAAGGATGGTGGCCAGGTGGCAGTTGCTATGTCTCCGCCCCAGCCCAGAAGGGCCCGCTGCGTGCCAGCCCCCGGTCGGCCGTGTGTCGGGGGCTCCTGCCTCGCCCTCGTGTGCCCACCCCTCCCCCACGCCCTGTCCTTGTCCCCCGCCATCCTGAGGCGTCTTCCCGTCCTCGGAAAGCGCCTGCCGTGTTTTCGAGAGCAAGGTGAGCGTGGCGAAACTCACGGGCAGCTCAGCCCGCCCTCTCCCGCCCCTGAGAAGTGGGCGGCGGTTACTACCCCCATTTCCCAGATGAGGAAACCGAGGGTCAGAGAGGCCAGGAAGCATCTGTCCCTCGCTGTAGTGTGTTCTCTCTCTCTCTCTCTCTCTTGCTCTCTCTCGCTGAGCCTTGAGCTGGTTACCGTGCCATCTCCCCGGTTTTCCAGAACTTTCTGGAGAGCGGGAGCTGAGTCAGTATTCTCAGCACAGCCTCCCCAGCGCCTGCGAGGTGCCCTGTGCTCACGCGCCGGGCAGTGGCCGTCCCTGCCCACCTGCCGGGACTTGTCTTTAGACCAGAGCTGCCGGGGGGAGGGGCCGGGGGAGGGGCCCGCAGCCACACTAAAGCCCCCCTGTCTCCTCCCCTCAGTTGAGAACACCACACACTGTGAGTTTGCTTACCTGCGGGACCTCCTCATCAGGTGAGAGCGGGACTGTGCGGGGGTTGGGGGCTGGGGACCACAGTCCGGCTGTCTGCCCGCCCTCCCCCGGGGCGGGGAGCCCGGTTTCTGAGACACCTTCTTGAGAATAGAGCAAGTGAAAACCGGAGCCCCCTGGGTGGGAAGGGCTGAGCTGTGGTCAGGGTGAGCCCGCAGACCCGGGGCCCCAGGAGTCGGGCACTGGGTGGGGGGGGTCTCCCCAGCTCCCACCCCACCCTTTGACCTGGCCGTGTCTTCCCCGTGGTCTCCTTGAGCCCAGACAAGGAGCAGTAGACTGTCCTCAACCCATTAGAGAGGGTGGGGGGGGCGTGCAGTGCAGAGGGCGGGGCTCCCACTTCTCAGCCGGTGGGCGGATGGATGTTGGGGGTGAGGCATCTCTGGGGGGGGGGGACTCCGGGTTGGGGACCGGTGTTGGAGAGCCTGGCTGCGGAAGGACACCGGCCCCGGGCTCTTCCGACCCTCTTCCCACATCTGCCCCCTCTGCCCTGCGGATCGGCAGGGGAGGAGTCCCAGCCGGGACTAGCAGAGTTGGACCGCGCTCCCCCGAGGCTGTGGTCGCCTCCGCCCCGCCCCTGCCCCCGCACCCCTGGCCTCCAGCCCGGCACGTCCCAGCTGGAGGAGGGACACCCCAGCCCTGCCCACCTCCGCGTCTGCACCCAGCCCCCCCGTCCTGGCCACAGGCTTGACACAGAGAAGGGGGGACACGTTAGAACAGGGTCGTCCTGAGAGGGTTTGGGGTTGCCGTAGAGACTGCCCCTCCCCCAAGGCCAGCCCGGTTGCGCTTGGGCCTCCATCGCTGCTCAGGGGGGTTGGGGGTGGGGAGGGCGGCTGCCACAGCCCCGGGCCAGGCTGACACCTCGCGCCCCGCCCCCCGCGCCCCAGGACGCACATGCAGAACATCAAGGACATCACCAGCAGCATCCACTTCGAGGCGTACCGCGTGAAGCGCCTGCACGAGAGCAACATGTCCAACGGCGTGGACGACAAGGAGCCGGAAGCGCAGGAGATGTAGACCCGCCCCGCCCCAGGGCCCCGCCCCCCCAGGGCCCCGCCCCCCTCCCCGGCCTCTCCCGCCCCCCAGCCCGCCCACTGGCCCCATTTTCTCTCCTCTCCTTTTCTCCATTCGTCGTCGTCCTCCGCCCCACACCACGCCGCCATGGACAAGATAACGAGTCCCCCCCGAGTGTGATCGTTCCTGGCCGTGCCTAGGTCTGGGAGAGGCTGGACCACGGCCAGGAGAGGCGGGCAAGGGCCGGCCGAGTCCGTGCCCGGCCCGGACCCAGGCCCGGCTCCGGGGTCTGGAGGAGCAGCCTCCTGCTCTCGGTACCCGCCGCACCCCCACGCTGTCTCAGCCCCTGCAGCCCGCGGGGTTGTGCCCTGGGGGCATGGAGCCAGCAGGGGGGTGGGGCCCTGGAACCCTTTTCCGGCGCCACCTCCCTGCACAGCATGGGCCGTAGCTCAGACCACATAACCCAGAGAGCCCTCCTCGGACCCCTTGGCCCCCACCAAGGAGAGAAGAGCTAATCCCTCGAGACGCAGGTTGCCAATTGCTTAGGCGCGGTGAGGCCCGCCGGCCGCCGCCCGCCCGCCCGCCGGCCTGTGAGCTCGCCCGGAGCGGAAAGTGCCTTTATCGCAGACGCCCCCTCGAGCCTGCAGACGCCCAGCCGGCCCCTCGGTGGGTGGGGAAACGGGGGCCGGCTGGAGAGGAGCTGTGTCTTCGTCTCCCGGCTGTGCCCCTAGCTGGGATTTGATTGAGGGAGAAAAGGGATGCACCCCCCCACCCCCTGAGTCTTGGGAAGCTCTGAGCAAGTGAGTCTGGTGAGGGGGTGGAGGGAGGGAGGGAGGCGGTCCCGGAAAGAAGGTGGGGGGGCTGGGGGGGCCGCGGCCGGGTGTTCAGTGGTCGGAGTGGCTCGGTGCCTGCCCCGTGTGACTGGGCGTGTGCTTGTGTGTGTCCACCTGTCCGTCCGTCCGTCCGGACACCCGTTGGGTCCAAGATGGTCTGGTTAAATTCAGGCCCAGGCGGCCACCCCACCTGCACACCCAGCCGGGGAGACAGGAAGCTGGGCAACCCTGACTTCCTGTCATCCTGAGAGCACCTGGGTCCCTGCACCCCAGGGCCCATGGTCAAGACCCCCAAAGAGGGAGAGGTCAGGGGTCAGGTTGCACAGCCCACCGCTGGCCTCTTGTGCTCCCTGACCCTGCGGCTCCACGAGGGGACCCGTGGGGGCCGTCCACACGTGCGCAGCAGGCCCCGGGGGCTTCCACCTCGCAGAGGAAGGATCCCTTAGCAAACAGTTTACTTGCCGACTTGCCAAGTTTTTGCCAAAACCGTGACTTTGCAGGGCGTGCCTGCCCCCAGCACGGGGCCGGAGCAGCATGGGGCAGCTCCCCCCCCACCCACCCCCAGAGGGCACGCCCCTTCCAGCCCCCATGCCGCCGGGGCTCCGGCGTCCGGCCCCGGGATGCCTCTGCTTCCCTTCTCTGTAGCCAGAAAAATGGTTAGTTCCACGGGGTGTGTTCCGCAGTGGCCTTTTGCTATGTGCCTCCCGAGAAATCCGTCTCTTTTTGTATAAATAACAAAGTGTTGAAAATGTATTTCCTGAAATAAATGTTCCAAATGCAGACTTGGAAGGCTCGGGGTGGAGTTCTTCGCGGGCCTCCTGGTCCACGCCGCGGTGCTGGGGGGGCGGGGGAGGTGCTGGGCCTCACTCCGTCTTCTTCGGGGACGGAGAGGCACTCACGTGGGAGGGGGACGGAAAAGGGAGCATCAGACCGACACCCCAGGTGCCAGAGCCGTTGACAGATTCGCTCAGGGGGCTGCTTCTGTCGGGGCAGCCGTGGGCACTTAAAGCCATTGGACGGAAGCCTCGGGCCTGGTCAGCGTTTGGCGATAGTTTCAGCCAATTTCGCGTGTTGTCAGAGAACCGGGCTCCGAGGACACTGGCGTTCCAGAGCCAGCCCCCAAGAGCTTTCTCTGCACCTGCGGGGGGCGGGGCTTCCCAAGGCCGCCTCCCCTGCGTGGCTGCAGAGTTCCAACGAGCCAGAGCGCCCACGCAGTCGCGGGCTTGTCCAGCCCCTGCCCTGCGTGTGTCCCTGCCTTGCGTGAAGGCCCGGGGTGTGCCGGCTCCCCCTGGGCGGAAGCCAGAGGGAAGCTGGCCGACGGGGGGGCCTCCTTTCGGGTCCTCACTGGGGATGTCCCCCTCCCCATTCTAAACACGACCTTCTAACGACAAGAGGAGCATGCACAGCTCACAGACCATGTGGAAAACTCCAGGAAGAAACCCAGCATAAATGAAACGCCCCAGCCATCCTCCCCATCCCTGCGGTTTGGGGGTGCTGGGGGAGGGAGATGGGGCGTGCGGGAACGGGGAGCTGTGCAGACACCGGTGTGTGCAGCCGAGGAATTGGGAGGCACTGTGTCTCAGTCCCACCCTGCGGGGCCCCCACTCCCAGCAGGGTCCCACCCCCATTCTGTTGCAGCCTCTCCACCCGTCTCCCTGATGAGTAACTTTCTCAGAGTCCATCCCAGGAAGAAAGTCAAGTCCCCAAAGGACCTGCCACCGGGAGGGGTGGGGCTCAGTCCAGGCAGTCAGGGCCCCCCTGGGCGGTGGGGCTGGCGGCGGGGTTGGGGGGACGGCTATCCTTGTCCCTGGCCACAGTGGACACTGCTCAGAATCCAGATTCCACCCGGACTCTGGGCCCCATCCCCGCCCCACCACGTGGGTTCCTTCCCCGACTCTTCCTGGCCGCCCCCTGGTGCCCGGTCACCAGGAGCCCCAACTCCCAGGGCTCCGTTTGCAAAGATTCTCGCCCACATGGCCCCTCTGGAGAGGGCGCATCAGAGGCTGCCGAGTCCACTGCACAGAGGGGGAAACTGAGGCCACGGGCCACACAGCAGCGTGGTGAAGGGGCTGGACCCCACGTTTCCTCCCGCAGGGGCCTCACTCTGGGTGCCTCTTGGGCACCTCTTCTGCGCTGACATCCCGTCTGGGCAGGGCCCAGCTGGAGCACGGCCCCCTAGAATGGCACTGTGCTGGGCCACCTGTGGTCTCAGAGTGGGGAGTGTGGGGGCTGTGCCCACAAGAGACTCCGGCACACATGCATGCGCCCCCACCCCCGCCCCAGCAGCACAGGGGCCCTCACAGCCCGCTGGGCTGGGGCTTAGGTGTGGGGCTGCCCCCTGGACGGTGAGGGCGGGACCAACGCACTGAGGGGCAGGGCCGAGGGACAGGCCGGGAGATAACACAGGCATCGATTACACAGCCGGCATCAGGACACCAGCCTCACAGAGCCCAGCGATGGAGACCAGAGACCCCCGTCAGCACGCACCCAAATGGGCAAAGAAGAAAGAACCCCGACCGTCTGCAAACCTCCTGCAGCTCCGTTCTCGGGAGTCAGCCCCCTCCCCCGCCCCCAGGAAGGCTCGGAGAGGGCCCGGAGTGTCAGCCCGCGGCCCCCTGGGGGTCTCACCTCAGTTTTATTTCCCTAGAGGCTGCCCTCTCCAGCTGAGGCGTATGCCCCCCGACCCCCGCCCCACCCCCACCCCCCACCCCCGCCCACTGTTTTGCAGGCCCTGGGCCTGTGTTCGTTTGCAAAAGCCATCACGGGGCAGTGTTCTCAGGACGGCTTTGCATCCTGGTTCCTCCACCTGCCAGCTGGGTGACTCTGAGCCAGCCAGTGACTGAACGTAGGCCCGTGCCTCAGTTTCCCCACGTGAGACATGATGGTGAACTACCCAACACACAGGACGGTTTCGGTGGACCGTCCCACCGACGTTAGCCGTCGTCATTGCCAACGTCATCGTCACTGCTGCGAAGGGCGTGTCTGTGTCCCCCTCAGGTTCACGAGCTGGAGCCCTGCTCCCCGCCTGGATGGCACTGGAGGCGAGACTTTTGCGGGGATCAGGGTTAGATGAAGGCATGCGTGTGGGGCCCTCAGGGTGGGATCGGGGCCCTTCTGGGACCAGGAAGAGACTGGAGAGCTCTCTCTCCCTGCGTGCCTGCGCCCAAGAAAGGCCACTGGACACGCAGTGAGTGGGTGGCCGTCTGCAGCCAGGAAGCAGGCTCTAGCGGGAACTGGAGCTGCCAGAGTCTTGATCTCGGCTGCCCGGCCTCTGGAACTGCAGGAAGTAAATGTCTGCTTGGTCACAGCATTTTGTCAGAGCAGCCCAAGCCGACTAGGACATCATCAACACCAACACCACCACCACCACCACCATCAGCGTTAGCATCCAGAAGCAGCCATAGGAAGACCCTGCACTCGCCTCCTCTTGCTCCTCTGCCCTGGAGCCGAAGGAACGAAAGTAAACCCGAGGTCAAGGGCGGGCTGAGCTGATGCGTCCATCTGAGAGGCAGCTGAGTGTTTTGCAGCCCCCTCCTGCTGCGCCCCCTGCTGGCCGGACCTGTCCGCACAGGCTGGCTGCCTTCCCCGCTGGGTCTCGTCATGCCTTTCATACAATGAACTTAAAGTCCTGGCTGATAATTCCGGCGTCCCAGCCATCTGTGGGTCTGCTTCTAGCGATCATTTTTCTCTTGATTATGAGTTCCATTTTCCTGTTTCTTTTCATGTCTTACAATTTTTTAATTTCCCTCAGATGTCACGTGTGGAAAAACACTAGTGTGCAATATAAAGATATATTTTTAAAGACTGTATTTATTTATTTTTAAGAGAGAGGGGAAAGGAGGGAGAAAGGGAGAGAAACACCGATGTGTGGTTGCCTCTCGCACGCCCCCAACTGGGCACCTGGTCTGTAACCTAGGCATGTGCCCTGACTGGGAATCGAACCGGTGACCCTCATGGTTCTCAGGCTGGTGCTCAAGCCTCTGAGCCCCACCCGGCAGGGCGAATGTAAATATATTCCGCCTGGAAAAAGAACAAGCCCCCTCCTCCGTCAGACGTGAGTTCAGGCGGGGTGGGGGGTGGGGGTTGAGCACCCGGAAGGGAAAGCCAGCAAGAGGGGCTTTCGTCCCGGGACACGAATGTCACTCAGTGGGAGGGGCGGAGCCAGTCCAACAGTGCAGCTGAGTTGGGCCTGAGCTGCGGTTCCGTTCGCCACTCACTTCCGGGGCTGTGCCAGTGGGCGGGGTCAGGTCTTCCCTTACCTGCTGGGGGAGAATTGGCCAGCGGGAGAGGCAAGGAGTGCGCATGCGGGAAGGGTGGGCGGCCCAGTCTGCGTGCAGGGGGCACTCCAGGAGGCAGCGGGGGTTGTGTGTGCAGGGGGGTGAGCGCTACAGAACAGGGCCGTGTCCTGTGCAGGGAGGGAGGGAGGAAGGGAGGGAGGGAGGGAGGGGATTCGCAGGGACCCGGCGCTTACGCTGGAGGCTTTGAAGTCACAGCTGCAGACCGCGAGAGGAACAGGGGGCAGGGCCTGGCGTCGGACTGCTCCGAGGGCCGAAGCAGCGCCTCTGAAGACCCCACGGACATTTTCAGGACCCAAACCCGCTGGCCACGGGCCCCGCGCGGCTTCTGCACATTTGAACACTGCTTCCATCCCAGCTCCAAACCCACCGCGTGCGGCTTTGTTCCTCCAGGGGAATCCGCCAGATCTCCGAGTCCCAGCCTCACCCACAGAGCCGGGGGGGGGGCGGCCCGGGAGCCCCGCTCAGCTCCACGCGGGGCTCCTCACAGAGCTTTTTGGCTTTGTCAGCTCCAGACAGCCTTTGAAAACCCGGGGGTGTGTGTCTAATAAAGTTGGAGCTCTGTAATTTAGCAATTATTGTAACCCACACTTGTAATTTAGGGGGTTTCTCGTCATCCTTTGTACTGGCTCTCTCTTTTAAAGAGAGTGCCGCTTTAATAGCTCTGCCTTGAATGCGCCAAAGGCTGGTGCTCGCCCCCCACCCTTCCCCCACCCACCCCTCCCCCCACCCCCAGTCGGCCACGGAGCAGAGCTCACGGAAGTGGGCAGAACCCGCCGGCGCTGCGTTTCAGGGATTCTGACGGTGGATGTACCGCAGCTCCCGGCGGAAACGCGGCCTGCTCTTCGCCGCCTCCCAAGCTCGGAGTCCTGTTCGGTCGCCAGTGTGGACGGCAGCCACAGGGAGCCGTCACCTCCCTGTGTGCCCTGTGCCAGTGCGAAGCCAGTCTCTCTGCCAGCACGCACGATGCCCCCCCCCGCCCCCTCGGTGTCTTCTGTCGTGCCCGCCTCTGCTGACGGCCTTATTCCCCTGGGCGTGGCTGCACTTCCCCATGTGTTTGCCTGTCCTATAATTTGGGGGCAAAACCGGACATTGTAAGGAATATGTGGCAGTAACTCTGGATTCTGTTCATTTTTCTAATTCTTTTTTTCTGCCCGTGGGGTCTGCGGGCCCTGGGGGGGGGCGCTGCTCTTGCCTCCGTTCGGATTGTTGACTTTTCGGTCCGCCTTCCTGGAGGCCCCTCCGAGCCTGCCCCGCTGAAGGGCCAGCCAGGATTGGGCGAGTCTGGGCTCACGCACCCGAGCCCTGAGCCCGCGGCAGCCTGGTGGCTCTGGGGCTTCTCCCTGCAGCCCCAGGCCTGTCCGGGTGTCCCAGTGAGTGACATTCGTGTCCCTGGGACGAAAGCCCCTCTTGCTGGCTTTCCCTTCTGGGTGCTCAGCGCCCAACCCCCACCCCGCCTGAACTCACGTCTGGCTGCCGCCTCTT